AGTTTTATTCTTCTTTTACTGATTAAACTGTATCTTGACTCACGAGTTTTCTTGCTTTTGCTCTTCCTATTCTCTCTCCCATTCCATGGAGGGGAGTGGGGAGTGGTGGTGGGGAAGTGAGTGAGTGGCTTTGTGGGTGCTTGGCTGCTTGCTGGGCTCAAGTCACAACAACATGTGTTGCCCAAAAACATAACCACCCTAATTCACTCCTGGCCCACTTACTTTGATGCACCAAACACTACTTTTTTTCCAAAGATTTTATAGAAGCTCTATTAACTTTATTTTTATTGAGCCTGTCTTGACCTTTACTTCTGTTTATTTCTATTTCCTTACCTACCTATTCAAATCAAACCTTCAAATGACAGAGCCTGCCAGCTTGCAGAACTTCTGCCCACAGCCAGCTCTTTGATGTCCACAGCAATGAACAGTGATGAACAGCAACATCAGTTGCTCCCGTGACTCTACCTGTGACACCACCACTGCAGGAAGAAGCTCAGTGCCTCATCAGTGTCGTGGGGAACTTGCTCACACACCCCCACCCTCTAATATCTGAACATGAAGATATGTTACACAAAATCCTACAGCACTTGAAGGACAAATAGGAGTGTAAATCACTTTCTGTTATTTTCCAGCATATGAAACCCACTCACACATATGCGCAGGCTGAACACGTGATGTGGCTGCAAACTGTATGTGTTTCAAAGAGCAGCTCAGGTATGGCCAGTTCATTCAAACAGCCAGCCCTAGACTGCAGGCTTGGGCTGGGGCTAGGGGAGCAATGTGCAGCTCCCCTGGATGGTGACAGCTCCAGGAGAGCAAGGAGGGGAATACAAAAATCATTTGGGGAGAAACCACTGTAAAGGGCTGCTTGATGTAACATTAGATTTGGAGGCTTGGTTGGGGCATCCTTGGAGGAACATCAAGGTGCTGAAGGATGCAGAGTTAGAGGCATAGGCCAGGATGCTTTTCTTACTGATTTAGTGTCTGGGTGGACGGAGAGGCAGATGGTATTTTCTGTGTAACTCTGGAGTTTCTGATTATGTGAAAAAAGTAACTATTGTGGGAAATGTCCTGTCTTAGTAGGAGTGTTAATGTCACAGACACAGACAAATTCCCATATGAATATAGTTATATTCTGCCAGCCGCAAGTTACCTTAGAAATTAAGGAGTAAAGCAACATGCTACATTTCCTATAGGAGAAAATTAAACTGGAAACACTGAGATTTACCTCTGCATAAAAGTACCTAACCTTGGAGAACTTTTCACTGTATGAACAATTTTTTACTTCACATTGCCTGAAGATAACAAAATGTAATGTGATCTGCTCCCTGAAAGACTGTAGGAAAGACAGGTGAAAACAGAGATTTTAAAGGTGCCAAGGGACTTCCTTGCCTTTTTATCTATTGGGTTTAATTGCTATCCTGAATGTAAGCCATCAAAAGAACCCATGCCATGGATGGAAGCCACATTGTTCCCCTGTGGGTACTTTCTTTTTTCATTTGATGGTACAAGCAAAGTCTTTTGTCCAACTCCTGTGGTCAGTCCATCTGTCTGGATGTTACTGTTGTCGCTGCTGCATGTCTTACTGGTCCCAGGGGGTCTTTAGATTGGTGTTTCATGCAAATTAATTTCCTGACAAATAATTTCAGACCTGGAAGCTGCATTTCAGTGCACTTCTTCCGAGTGGACATGAAGCAAAATGCAAAATTATTTTTAACAGCAAGCTGTTCCCCAGTGTTATTTTGCTTTGTTGAGGGTGACAGAGGAGCAGATGCTTTGCATCTCTTCTGCACAGCTGCAAGTATGAAGGTAGAGAGCTAACTGTAAATCACAGGCCAGTTCCATAGCCATCCCAGGTTAGCACTCCTACTGTCTTTGTTTGGAACAGCTCTGTGACCAGTCTGGTTATAGAAGCTCTGGGCAGAGACCAGGCTTGGGAAACTGATGTGACTGAGATAGCACCTCAGACCTCTGTGCCTCCACTTTGCACTCACTTTCAACAAGTGTGATACTGAGTGGGCTGTATCCATTAGTGGTAAATGTCTCACTCATTCAGCTTGTGTAGAGCCTGGGTTGAAAAGCCAAGTGTGAAGCATCTCCCAAGAACCTGGTCCTCTGAAAGTCCCACTGGAGAGCAGCACCTACTGTGACCATCAGAACATTGACTGTATATGAACAGGAGTGTCCTGAGCTGCCCGGTGATGACTTCTTGAGCTTCTACAGCCAAGCAACAAGCTTGGTTGTGTTGCAATAGGTAATTTGCATCATTGCTAGTCTGTGCACCCTACTTCCTTAAATAATGAATGGAAATGGCACATGTGGAAACTGAGCTGCTTATGAGGTCCACAAGAAATAGTTAAGGTGGACTGTGCCCAAGTAAAGCCATGGTCACGCAGATAAGGTGGTGTGGCATGATGGAGTGACACCTCCTGACATCAGCATTTGTAGCAGAATCATCTAGGTGGGAAAAGACTTTGAAAATCACCTAGTCCAGCCATTAACCTAAAATTGACAGTTCCCAACTCCACCATATCCCTCAGCGCTATGTTAATTCTACTCTTAAACACCTCCAGGGATGGGGACTCCACCACCTCCCTGGGCAGCAACAATCCCTTCTGTAAAGAAATGCTTCCTAATAACCAGTCTGAAACTTCCCTGGTGCAACTTGAGGCCATTCCCTCTTGTCCTGTCGCTTGTTACTTGGTTTAAGAGACTCATCCCCAGCTCTCTGCACCCTCCTGTCAGGGAGCTGTAGAGGGCGATGAGGTCTCCCCTCAGCCTCCTCTTCTCCAGACTAAACCCCCCCAGTTCCCTCAGCCGCTCCCCAGCAGACCTGTGCTCCAGACCCTGCCCCAGCTCCGTTGCCCTTCTCTGGACACGCTCGAGTCATTCAATGGCCTTTTTGTAGTGAGGGGCCCAAAACTGAACACAGGAATCGAGGGGCGGCCTCACCAGTGCCGAGCACAGGGCTCAGATCCCTTCCCTGTCCCTGCTGGCCACGCTAGTGCTGACACAAGTCAGGATGCCATTGGCCTTCTTGGCCCCCTGGGCACACTGCTGGCTCCTGTTCAGCCGGCTGTCAATCACCCCCCAGGTCCCTCTCTGACTGGCAGCTCTCCAGCCACTCCTCCCCAGGCCTGTAGCGCTGCTGGGGGTTGTTGTGGCCCAAGGGCAGCCCCCGGCATTTGCCCTCAGTGAAACTCCCCCAGTTGGGCTCAGCCCATGGCTCCAGCCTGTCCAGGTCTCTCTGCAGAGCCTCCCCACCCTCGAGCAGATCAACACTCCCACCCAACTGGGTGTCAGCTGCAAACTGACTGAGGGGTGCCCTCGATCCTCTCGTCTGGATCATCAATAAAGATGTTAAACAGGAGTGGCCCCAACACCCAGCCCTGGGGGACACCACTCCTGACCGGCCGCCAACTGGATTTAACTCCGTTCACCACAACTCTTTGGGCCCAGCCATCCAGACAGTTTTTTACCCAGCAAAGCATGTGCCCATCTAAGCCACAAGCAGCCAGGTTCACCAGGAGAATGTCCATCTTCTAATGGACAGCCTAAACTATCCATGACTAAATTGCTTGTGTGAGATCATAGCAGTTAAATTTGGCCCTTAAAATACGGACCTGGGGTAGATTCTCAGCATCAGTCCTATGAAGGGAACCAGGTCTGTCAGTCCCAGATAACAGGAGAGTTGAATCTCATTTTAAGTCACTGCTTTCTGAGCCTGCCTTAATTTCTCTTATGTATCACCTAAACACAGCTCAGATCCATCAGGAGACCAAAGGCATATAAAGTTTTTTTGTCTGGAGAGGTCTAGAGCTACCATAAGCTAAGCAGTGTGATACCCACCACCACAAGCTTTCCAGCAGTCTGAAGTATGCCTTCCTCTGCTGATGTCACCTGAGGGATGGGCGTGAGGGAAGTGGAGTAAGGCTTCATTATACTGTTATGCAACAGAGGAGGTTCTAGGAGCTAAGGGAAATATCGTGGGAAGAAGTAGTGTCCACAGAGAGAAACACCTTTGATTTGATTACAATAAAAAATTTATTTTGATTCATATCATACTGAAAAATTAAATAAATAAAATGTCAAAGAATAATTGAGTGAGACTCTCCACCATCAGAGCAAAACCCAAAATTCTTATCACAATTGATTGTGTACTCAAAGAAAAATAGGAAGAAAATCTGGTCATGGGAGAAGAAAAAGTGCTCAAGAAGAGATTTGGCTTTGGTAAGAAACATAACACACTCAAGGAGTGCTTCAGAGACTTTGCAGTGGTGACAAATACAGTTCAAGAGTTTGAAGCCTTGACATGTTGTTAAATGTTTTCCTTTGTTGTTCTTTTAAATAAAATAAACTCATAAAGTTTCTAGCAGGAACAGTCTTCAACATTGGCATTAGTGAAATTGGGAATTAATTCTTCCCTCAGCATGATCTGTTTGGAATCTCCTTATTCTGAAGACATTTGAAAGAGGAGCAAATTTGTGGAGAAACTGAGACAAAGATCTAACACAACACTCAGTTGCTTAAAGGACTCTAGAAAAAGTTCCTCTGGAATAGAAATGTGATGGCACAGACTATCCCTCATCCTACAGCTGGAGAAGTCCACTCTCTGCTCTCCTCATGCTCTGAAAAATGGACATCAGTGGTACACAGTTACTGCTGGCTGTTGGCAAGAAAATTAAATGGGATTTTCAGCTTGTTCCATGATTAAAATCTAAATCTATCCATGACCGTATGAGCCACAATGTTTCATATGTGCTGTCAGAGGCAGAATATTCGGGGGAAACTGGAAATTTAATTTGGACAGCAAAAGGAAACTTTCAGAACAACATAAGCTAGAAGATAGCTGATTATTTTTTACCACTTTCTTTGATCCCAAACTGCCATCTGTGATTAAAAAAAAAAAAAAAAATCAATGGCATTTGGGTACCAAACTACTGTGAGTTTTCTTCCAAGTCTTTCTAAAAATGACTGAAACAGCAGTGAACTGCTTCTGAATTACTGACATCTGTCCATGAGAAAAAAAAAAATAAAAATTGAAGCTTATGATGAAAACAGTATCTCTAAAATCCAGCCATAGGGTGAAGATACCATTATGGTGTTTCATGGAATCTTCTTCCTCTTGAAGATGCTTTGCTTGTATTGCTATGACATCTCACCAGAAGCATATTAACAATTTAAACAGTGGGAATGCTTAAAACAAAAGACAGTTCAGGTAGCAATGTTTCATTCTTTTACAAAGGACATGTAGAAGACAGTAAGCCCATTGAATTTGACGTGCCTGTGACATGCAGGTGAGTTCTGCTGGCCACAGTGCTGGGAAAGGGCTTCTTGACATGAGGATCATGAACACGTCTCAGCACAAGGATTTGAAAATCCTGTCCTTTTCGTATTGTTAAACTGAAGGGTCATGTGTGTACAGTGAAGGGAGCTCAGTTCCCTGCAAAGATGTTTGGCATCCTCATCTCTTTATACACTGTGAGTCCAGTGACACTTATGTGGGTAAAGCAGTTCATGTTGGTGACCAGTGCTGTGGCCCAAAACAGGGATATTCCAGCTGTCAATGTCATTGTGCCATGAATTTCTGTCTCGGAGGGGAGCTCACTGTTAATAACCAGCATGGAAAGACAAGGGGATAAATCTTGGACTGGAGCACATCACTGGTCAAAGTGCTAGGCTTTCACTGAGCTCAGATACTCATCCGCTTGGACATGCTGCCATGATTGGTGCATGACTGACGAGTTATTTAGATGATGGGTTCTAAATTGCCACAAACCCCAACTACCATAATCCATAAAAAATGAAATAAGACATTTTTTCCAAGCCTGATCTAAAGTCCCTTGAAGTCTGTGGTAAGAACTCCATTGCCTTCCCAAGAGCTGAGAATGGATCAATAATCCATGAATTCTATTTTCATAATATTGGGAAGAAAAAGACATTGTTCTCCGTTCTTCACTACCTGAACTTCATTCTTAGATTTGTACTTTATCTGTCCTTGAGGATTAAACACGTTGATTCCAGCAAAGATTTGTGGCCATAAAATTTCCAGTGTCACTTCCCTCCTCTCACTGCCTAGAAGTACTGACATTAATACACTCATTCCTCCAGAGATGCACATAATTTTGAAGTCTGGCTTACACTGTAGGATCAGCTTGCGTAGATTGTGTCCTTGTAGATGCTGTTACAGGGCAAAAGATTCCTATTGTATTACTAGCTGATATCCCAACCCATGATATTTCCTCCATTTCAGATAGAGACCTTGTGAAGAGATACCACTTTCTAACTTTGTAAAAAAATAAGAAAAATTTCCTTGCAATGTTTGGATATTTTCCCATAAAAAAAGGTAAAAGCTACCTTTAGAAATTATTCTTGTTTGTGTTTGCTCAAATACAATATAGGAGCTGTTACTATGGTATTTGACTACAAAAGTATACCACATGGAGGCTAAACTTTGGTTATTTTTTCCCCCTTTTATAAAAAAGTTTAATTTAGCATTTGTCATCATAAAAAAAAAAAAATCACATCTGTTGCACAATTATAAAAGGCACATATAAATGACTGAAAGAAAAAAGTCCACTTTCCAACCTTAAACCGATTAAATAAAAATGAACATTCCAGAGTATTTTCCACCAAAAAAAAAAGAAATAAAAATTATATATAACCAAAGAAGACAAACAAAGAAGTGGCTAAAAAGGCCATTTTTTTGCTGGAGTTTTCAGTATTGTTTACTATCTCATTATGGCTGTATAGGAAGCAATATTAAATAATATATGTCAGAGATGATTTGATCCATATTTTCTAGACACTATCAATTCAGAATGAGGCAATGGTTGAAATATTTACTACTCCAGGCAACTTCATCATGTTTTTCCTTAATACAGCATGAAACCAGAAGTAATAGAGGAAAAAGAAGAAACAGTTCAAAAAGATCAACAGCAGAAGTGAATTCATTTCTTTGAGGTAATCCTTACTATGATGTTCACAGCTGCCCTAGTGGGTCTCAAGTCCCAGAAGTTGTTTCCACTCTTCTTCGAGGATCTCCTGCCTTACCTGAGGAAAGAACTGACACATAAAGAGCAGTTCCTGTGCCCAGGTTTCCCCTAATTGCAACAGGGAGATCTTTCATCAGTAATTCAAGAATCAAGCCATAGAGCCTAAGCAGAGATTCATTTATTCCCACTACGGATTGGTAGTTCCCAGCTATCTGTAGATAGGAAATCCCGTGCAGCGTGGAAGCCGGTCCTTGGCCGAGCTCCCTGCAGTGAGCACTGCAGCAGTGAGACGCTCTGGATCCACCGCAGATTCATGCGTTCAAACCTGACTGGCGCCCAGACCATCCCCACTGAGCTTTGTTCTGCTGCATGCTGGAAATTGCAGCCCTCACTTCTCCCCGTGGCCAGGGTCATCTGCCCTTGAAAAAATTTATTTTTTCAATGGAGGCAAGAGTCAAAGTTACATTGAACTCAAAATCCCCATCATGGACACCTGTCTTCCGGAAAGCCCCAGCTGAAGCGTTGTTTTCCCAGTAATGGTGCCAGTGTCCTTTGCTGTCTGCTCCAAAACCGTACACATTCACCTAGGAAATAAGAGACAACTAGTGTTATGGCCTGGAAAGCAATTGGTCTTCATCTGAAATGTTGAAGAAACTCTCTTGATTCAAAAATGGGCAGCAGCACCTAAGGACTTCAGTGGTGTCCCAAGCTATTCTGCTGCATGAGACAACACAACCACGGAATAACACCCCAAGGCCTGCTCAAGAGACATTAGATCCTAAGCTATTGCTGAGACCACCACCATACCTGAACTCAGATGGAAAAGGAATTTTCCATCCACAAACTCTTATTTAGCAATATTGAAAACACCTTCCTATCCCTAAGCATGATGTTTGGCCTCAGGACATCAGTGGCTTGGGATGGGAATCTCCACTTTAGCTGATTAAGGCCACAAAGAGTGGAAAAATTTTGGTTTTGTTCTTAGTCTTCAAAATAATGATCCATGTCAACCCTCACATATATGCTTAATTATATGACATCTGCAAGCACTCCAGAGGCAGATGGACATGATGTTCTTTGTGTGTATATACACCTATGGTCTTTCCTCTCCCCTTCGAAGGCTCATTCATTGATGGCTATGCCTGTCTCCTCTGGTGGTAAAAGTCCAAACATCACAGTTAATTTATTTAAACTGAGAGTGGCAATATGGCTGGATTTGAATGGTCATAGTCCACAAAACCAGCTCCTTAACTCACCTGCACCTGGACCCACCCAAATATGAGGTGGTTTTATATTTTTTTTGGTAATGTCAGAGACTTGCTCATTGACTGCTTACTGGAAAACAGGCTCTACCCAAGCTGCCCATTCTTTCTGCCAGCATCATTAGGAGTAGTTACATCACATCTCCACTCAACACAGGCCTAGGTGACAAAAGCTCTCTTTCATCAGCAAGTCTGTGTCCAGGCCAGGGATTTTGCCAGCATGGTGATTTTCATCCCCCATGCTGAGAAGCCCATTCTTGATTTTGTAGAGCTGACCTGGACTTACACTAACTCGCTAAGTTTCCAATCACCTAGGAGCACCTCACATCACTCAAGACAGGGAATTTCCTCAAGTAACTGCTGGAGCAGCAACATTTATCTTAACCTACTGTATAAACCCACAAGCTTGGGTTTGAAAATAGACCATCTGCATTCCCCAAACTGGCTTATGTAAGAGGTGGTCATCATAGTTCTTCAGGTGAGATTATGTTTAAGATTTAGATATTCAAATGGAGGTGCCTGAGCATCCATTACAGTCAGTGGTGATCCAGGCAGCACAGTCAGTGGAAACCAGGCAGTGATCCTGCTCCCCGAATGTCTTACCAGGAGGCTGATTTGCTGAGTCAGCCTCTTGGCTCCACTGACTAGACAGATAAGACCTCAGTGCAGTTGCCCAAACATAAGTGCTATTTGAGGTGTCCTTTAGTAGTCAATACATCTACTTAAGGCAGGCAGATGTCACACAAGGCCAAGAGATTCGTACTTTTCTGGCCTGGCAGCTGGAGGCAGAGGGCATGCCCATGTCAACACCATTGGCTCTTGGTGCCTTAAGAGTGACACAAAATATAATTGGGACTTCTGCTAACAAGATGGGCACGTCTTGATAGCAAGTGTAATCCCACTATTTGTGTTTAATTATATTCCCCTCAAATGCATCTTAAACCTTATCAGCTGCTGACGTTAAAAAAATCTTCCACTGTCAGTTGAGCATATCTGCATGTTACTAAGGACTCTGCATCTGTCCGAAGAAGCAAACCGCAGAGAAGATGGAGGATGGGAAATACAGGCTGAGAGAGTAGCCAGGGCATGTTCCTGGCACTTCCTTATTTTTTGTCCATATTCCCAAACACAGCCAGACTTTACCTCGTCACATAGGTGGAGTGCCAGCATCAAAGACAGAAGGCCTGTGGAGGGGTATCTCCCATGATGCTGGAGCCAGTTTTCGTAGACATATTTCATAAAAGCTGGATTATAAACCAGGATCTAGGCAAAATTGGAGAGAAAGACTCATTAGTAAAATACCCTGGGAAAAAAAGCAATGGTAGCATGTCATCCTCCAAAGGTCACTTGTATGGGGAGTGGGGGATAAAGGAATAATAGTTATTCCCTGAGGGGAGCAGGTGAAAGGGAAAAATAAAGTCCCATAGTTAACTGCATTCAAGAATATTTCTCATATGTAGTTGCACATGAATATTCATTCCTTGGTGATTTCTACTGAAACCAATGGGTATGAAATGTCACAGGTGAGAAGAAAATTAGGCATTCAAGTCTCCTTGTATCATTCTGTTGTAATGCAGGTGAGCTCTGGGAAGTTGGAGGCCTGAGCAAGGCAAGCATAAGATACCATGCCAGATTTCACAGAATCATAGAATCACTTAGGTTGGAAAAGACCTTTAAGATTGTCAAGCCCAATTTGTGTGGAAATGTAAGATTGACTGCATCTTCTTTGCAGTATGACAACCATGTCTTGGTAACTCCTTAGGTACAGATCTAAGGAAACCAGGGGTCAGGTAGCCTATCAGGTTGCATCAGCTGCATTTCTCCAGTTTCCCAAACATGCTATTTTTCTATACTTTTTTTTTTTTTTTTCTTTTATAAGACATAAATTGCACTTGGTTATTTCCTGGGGAAATTATGAAGCCATCTAATAGAGACAGAGAACTTAAGATCAGACCTGAGTGTACAGTCAATCCAAGGACTGGTGGGAGCCCTTGGTTTCAACCCCCTTCCCTGAATCAGGTGAAGAGAAGCTTTTCCCTCCATGCTGTGTTTGTAATTAGAGTGACAGCATTTGAGTGCTATCTGGTTAGCTGCAGGGCTTTTCCTTTTACAAAGTCAGAGGTTAATTGCTGATATTGTATCTGTGTGTAATCGCTTCGCACAGCGTGTTTTGCATTGCATGGTGTGGGAAGAAATACAAGCTTCTCATGTCCCCGCTCCTCAGGAAGCTGCTGCATATCGCCAGCCGTACCCTGGGCTGGTGCTACTCAACTGTGACAGGAGTTTAACAAATTGCTGTAGTGCATCTTACAAGGGTTTTGCAGAGGTTATTATGTTCCTCACAACAGGTCGGGATGAGCTAAGTGATTATTTAATACCCCCTAGAGGTCCACCGTTTGAAGCACAGGGATATAAACTGATACTAGTTAAAGGTCTCATGTGAAGCCTTTGGCAAAACCTGGCCTCCTGAATGAAGGACATATGCTTTAATCTGTAATTTGGGGCTCTGGGGCTAACATATTTTACCAGCCCTTGAGACATTAGGAGCCTGAGCCTCTTTGAAAATCAGCCTCTCCAAAGGCTGAGAGAATGAGACTTTTATTTTGCTGGAAAGTCTATGGAAAAGGAAGTGGTTTTTTCTCTCCCTACATAACCTGCCTTGCTTATGTCCTAAAACCATGCAGCTACAACAACAAAAGTCATCACATGGTGGCTAAATGTCCAACATGGGAACGACCACCCTGCCCCATGGGAAATCCTGCCTCCAGCAGTAGGACATGTCTATGAAACCACAGCATACTTGGGCAATGGGATGCACTCTGTTCTGACTGTTGTAGGGTGGGCACCAGCTTTATCCATCTTTCTTTGACTTTCTCAGAGAAGTGAGGTCCTGACCGCCTGCCTTCTACACATTCACACTATGAAATAAAATGGGTCAGAGATATTTTGTTACTCTTGAGGGAGTGGCATGGCACAGATCATGTCCACATTTCCCAATTCTGTCCCTGTGCAAAACAGGGAATATTCCCTGGTCTGTGCTATCCTCCAACCTTTGCTTGAACATTACCCGGGAGAGTATTAATACACCCAGGATAAAACCAGCATGGACTTGGCCTGAGCCCAGACTCCAAGCTTGTTTAATTGGTACAGGTAGTTATTACAGCTGCAGCCTAAGAGCCTTCCCCAGCTGCCATTGACGTTATCATGAATTCTCCACAGACTTGAAAACACACAGCTTTATTTGTTCAGAGTTCACTTAGCGCCTTATTACAAGGAATGATCAGGGAGTGAGAAACATCCATGGTGTTCAAGCAGTCAAATTATTAAAAAAACCCAGACTTCACAGCTCAGATTGTTGTTACATCCAGATGACTCCAGTGGGTGGGAACAGAGCAACTGCTGTTGAGAGTGAGCACTGTTGGCCAATGGTGCACCTTAAATCTCCCTGAGCAGTACCAGAGGAAGCAATGCAACCTCAGAACAACAGCAATGCAATGGCACAGTCGCAAGAGCAGTTTCTTTCCAACCTCAGTTATTTAGTGGTTGATCTATGGCCTGAATGGCACACAGAAGCTAAACCTTTAGTTTACTTGAGCCTTGTAAAATGTGTGTGTTTTGGTTGCAGTTTTTATGAATGTCAAGGGGTTCCCTGGGTTCTTGCCATCTCCCAAAGAGGCAAAAGACCTACAAGTAGATTAGCAGAACAAAGTCATAAACCAGCATTGCTCACCTTTTCTTTTTTGACTTTGATTTTCCGTGGAACTGGAACATATGTGCTGTTAAAAGAACAAAAAACCCACAACAACAAGATTAATAAAAGCCCAACATACCAATATTTATATGTATTTCCAAAGAAAGAAAGACTATTCTTCATGTACAGTAATAAATGAAAATTATTTGAAAGTAATAAATTGAAGTTGTTGTAAAATGAGGCTGTAATTAAGTAATATGGCGTGAAAAGAACCGAGCTGTCACTGAAGCAACTTCATAGCAAGCCATTACATTTTTCAATTTTCAAGTTAATTATTGACAGTAGAACACCAAAGATTTAGTTGACAATATAGTGTAGAGCCAATATTATGTGGAGCCCGTGACTTCTGATTCTTGGATCATGACTGTTGCAGTCTTTGCACTTTGATGATGGGAAGGTCTTTCCATTTTAATTTCATGGCAGAAAAATCTTTTCCCACTAGGGGGAGACTTTTCCCTCCTAATACTTGTAGGTACTGCATGATTTTCAGAGTAGGTGGTAGTGGAGTTCATAATTTCTGTGGTTATGTGCAACTCGGGCATTCCTAGTACACAGCCCCTTGCCTGCCAGCTATTCCCCTCCTCCCCAGGGGAACGCTGAAGGCTTCCTGCAGTTCCCAGTATCAAACTTCCAAGTCATACATTATGACCGGGTCAAAATCACGAGTCATGCCTTGAAAACAAAACCATCTTTTTTTCCCCATATCTCATGCACAGTGCCTGCTGGCATTGCACAGCTCATCATGAGTGCTGTAAGAAAAAAATCTCCGAGTTTGTTTCAAGAAAAAAAATTCTAGTGAACTGGCCTTGCAATTGGAGTATATCCCAAAATGCACCCTGCATACTTTTTAGATGGGTTGCGGTAAATCACTAAAGCTTTCCATTAGTTCCATCTAAGTGTTTTTGCTTGATTTTTGGTAACAACAAGGTTCCTGTCATTAAGGTTTAATTTCTCTTTGAACCATGGATCATCAGCACTTTGAAACATTAAGTCTTCCCAAAGCAGTAGTGAGCTAGCAATGTCCTCCTCTCCTTCTGGCCATCCCTGACCTGCAATCCCTGCTCTGGGCTGGATGCAGTGGAAGAGGTGGTGGGTGTGCTCCAGCCCTCCTGAGATGTGACACAAGATGCTAATGGGGAAGGGGACACCCATGCAGACTTTTTAATCTGCTCTCAGCAAATCTGCCCTTGCATCTCCTTCCCACGTCTCACCTTGATAAACAAAGTCAGGAGAAGCAGGCTCAGTGAACCCATGTCCTTTTTGTGGTTATGAAGGCAAAAAGGGCTTCTTTGCTGGTAAAATCTCATTATTATATAAATAAACAATGAGTCTTTTCTGAAAAGGTGATGTGGAGGAAACAAGGGGACCATATTACACGGACATCTAGCTAGGCACAGTAATAAACCAAAGAGATCAGTATGCAGTGTTCAAGACAGTATGTGCAGACAACTCTGATCCAACCAGGAGACTACTGTAGCTCTTGTCAGATGACAGTCATTTTAATCATGGGATATTTCATTTTTTTGGAAGCAATACCCAAGTTCTGATGCTACTTGGCTGCAGAATTTCATACAACTGCACAGAAAGTACTGGCACACTGACTAAAACCAAATGGAGACCTATGCCATTATGATCATGTAAAACCTGGGCTACATAGCAGCCAGGGAGTTAGTGACTAAGTACCACACTGGAGCAGGACAAAGAGTGAAGCCTGTCATGAAGGTGGATACGTATAATTTGGAAAACATTTTCTACAAGCCACTTTTCAGAGCTCTAGTGAAGTCTGCCATCATTACTGGCCACCTTGTACAGGATATTTACTGTACCCTTGACCCAAGTGGAAGATGTGGAAATGTTAAGGAATACAAAAATTGTCCTTTGCCAAACCAAGTGGTTTTTTTTTTTTTAATACAGAGATTCCTAAATTGCAGAAGGCAAGTTAAGGCAACTAGGCTATATATATGACTGATGAGGGCCTGAAGGTTTTCTGTTCTAGAAGGCTTTTCTTGATCTTTTCTGGGATAATGCTCAGTCTCAGAGAGCAACTTTGAAATGGGACATCCATCAGTCAAATGGGACATGTCTGAGAGAATCATTCATCTATCAATTCAATCTAATATTAAGGCCATCTGTAGTTTGGCTTTTGTTTTGAACTGTAAAAATTGCTTGAATTATTCTACTACTGGGAGGAGAATGATGAATTTATGGGTTTTGAGTCTTAGGAGATTATTACTTCATTTGAATGGGATACAGAAAATTAAACATTGTGTCACAATCTAACTGATACAGGATGTTTATCTTTTTCAATAATGAGTGCACTTAGGTTTTAACCTAACATCAGTTGATACCATGCAGCCTGTGCACAAGGCATGATGGCCACACAGGTTGGGGTAAGAAGATGAGTATTTCTTCTCTTCTAAAATACCAAATTTCAGATAGGCTTTATTTTTATTTCATACCTTCTCCTCTTTACAAATGTACACTCAACAATTTCCTTACACACTGCATCTGACATTGTGTTTAATGAGTGCTCATAGGTTTATTCTGCTAGCCTAAAATTATGTTACATATATTGTTATGATTTGTGTGCTTATGATTTTCTGGTTTTATTATTCCAGAATGTACCAGCTTATTAATTATGCAATTTCCCTGCCTTGAGCATGGCAAAAAATCTTAAAATACTGGTATTTCTTCCATGTGGTTAACTACTAACACGCTAATTTATACCAGATGCTTGCCAAGCCCAGGTATACAATCTAATTATAAATATATAATATATCCTGTAATTTATTAAGAAAAGATGTTTTTCCTTTTCCAGTGCTGTGACTGCCTTGTAGTTAGCCAGATATCTCCCTGATAGGCTAAAGGCTCACTCAACTTTACTGTGGCAACCCACTTGCTGCCACTTCTGAAGGTAAATACTTGACAAAAAGTAGAGAACAGCTTTGCAATCTGGGCACAGAGCAGTGACAGTGAGAGAAACACAGATGCACGACGACAGCAGGAACTGGTTCTCTGTGGGCTCCTCTTCCTAGTGCAGGCACAGATAGAACAAAGATGCAGCAAGGGGCTTCATTCAAATGACGCTGAGGGCAGCTGGGAGCTTTCCATTACTTATGGTAGGATTTGGATCCAGGCTTAAAGGCAGAGGTTCTCCACCTTTTTTAATCAATATAGCTTCTAAAAGGAAAAAAACCCCTAAGTCTTGCAAAAAAACTGTGATATTTTTTAGCCAGTTTTCTAAGTGGGATGATTTTTCCAAGTTACAAGTGTGTCCTGAAGATGGATTTTTTCAAGACAATTTATGACTGTATATACTAAGTGCTGGTGGCAAAAAAGGTAAAAAGGCACGAAACCAGATTTATTACAAGAGAATCTTAATAAGAAATGAAAAGAATCTAAAACACATTTGTAAAGAGACAAAAGAAAAAGAGAAGAAGAAATAAAACTCCATTTGTTAACCCATCAAAACATTTTCCTTAAAAATGTGAAGTGGGTCTTATGCCCAGTTATCAGGGATATACTTTTCCCAAATTTGTAATCTTCTGAGACTCTGAAATTGGGAAAAAAGTTGAAATGTCTTGAAATATTTCTCTCTGGACTAAAGTAATCTGATCTACTCTTGTTGTCTATGTGTAACAGAGTGCCACTGAGCAGTCCCAGAAGGCTGTGGTTTTGCATCTAGTAGATAACCTCACACACAGTGCAAATGTCACATATTTTATTCTCTGGATTAGGAAAAGCCAGCTTAAAGGAAGGGAGAAAATCTGCTAGCAGGCATCCAGAAGACAAATTTCTAATTCTAGTGTTGCCATAAATGTATTAAGCTGGACAACATTTACTTCTGAAAGCACTCATAAAGATGAAATGGAGAATAAATACGAGCACGGCACATTACTGACATGTGAATTTAAGGCTAAGGCGCACAGGTGACACACAAACCAACACTGTCTCTTCTGCACGGCTCTTGATCACATTCCAGCAGGAAAACCCGACCAAACTCCTGACTGACCTGCCCAGGGGACGATGCTGTGGATGGGGCACTGAGTGCTGCAGTCTGCTTCTGCTCTGACTGCCTTGTGTGAGCAATCTGTACTTCCCTCTGCCTCCTTGTCCTCTTCTGCAAGTGGGATAACATTGGCCATCCAAGTGTCTCAGGTAGGATAATCCAGGTGTCTAGGACCACTAAGCACCTGATTCTGCAGATGGCTTTCTGATGGGTACATCTGGGTACAGGCATGCTCACTGCACTCGCTGTACTCCCAAGGGACCACAGAGGAGGAAGGATAAGCAGAAGCCCAAAATGAGGCACTGAACCCCAAAGCCCAGGAAACCACTGGTGGTACTGGCTGTCTCCATCAGCAAAATCTCCCTTTTTCATTTCTCTTGAGACCACTGTGTGGGGCTGTGAAAAGCTGGATCTTTGCCTCAAACACTGCATTGTAACATTAAGCTTTTCCTAGAAAGCAAGTGTTCAGGACTGAACTTTGACCTGAGAGGGTCTGTAAACCTCCTCTAGGCCTTATCAGAAGCTGGTATTATTTGCCCAGCAAGGGCTTTTATCTCCTATAGCAACATGAGATGCAGGAGCTCCCACCCTTTCAGCCTGCCCTTACTCACAAGTTGATGGTGCCTGTGGTGAGAGCAGTGACAACCCAGCGCAGGTCCAGGGTTTTGAAGGGGATCAGGATCATGCTCACATTTTCCGCCAGTTCTTTGTAGCTCTCAGGGTAAACAAAGTGGTGAGTGGTTTTGCTCCCAACATCTGATTCGTAGCCAGCGGTGGGGGCACGGTTCATTCTGCAGCCCAAATGTAAGAAGTGAGAGAGTGAAGAAGGAGACAAATTAGATAGGTACAAATACATGTAAATCTTCCCCAAATCATTTGCTTGAGGTGGCAGGAAAGTGCTCCCACAGCTGAGTGCTGCATGCAGGCTCTGCAGACAGCCTTGACAGAATGTAGGGATCCTCAAGCAGGCTGAAATGTCCACCACCCATGTGGATAAATTAGCAGCAAATGAAAGCTCAGCTTTAGTGTGGTATTTCTTGGACTGAATGGGAGTGTCTACCAAGCAGGTGTATCTCTGAGCACATCCCTGCATTTCCTTCACAGTCAGCAGAGAGCTGGTCAAAAAAGTGGTTAAGTCCATGGAAACACATCTCCTTTCATCCTAAATCTGCAGCCTCCAGTAGGTGAGAAAAACATTGCCCTGAAGTCCAGCAGCTTGACTTCTTGCAGTTTCATTCTCCCCCATCTGTACAGGTGTATTTGAATGTCTAGGATCAAGGTAACAAACCATGTTATCTGTGATAAGAAGAAGCAAATTTCTTTTATGGTCCTCCCATGAAAATGCACCAAAGCCACAGTGACAAATACAGGACCTGTTGCTGACACATCATTTACTCAAACCTTACTTCGTAGTATGTCCTCCAATTTCATTACATCTACTTAGGGTCACTCCCTGCACCATGGTGTGCTTTAGGTAACTCTGGGGTCAGTGCTTGGAGATCTGTCCAGGGGCCACCAGGGCTCAGTCAAAACATGCTGGCCAGCAGAGCTACCTTGTGTTGGGTGTACCTGGGAACAGAGTGGGGGTTTCTGAGCTCAGGATTGCAGAAATACCTCTACACTTGTGTTTTCTTCTGAAAGCAAATCTGGGGACACATCAGCAATTCCTTCCCTGATAAATTAGTTCCCCGCTGGTAAAGATTTGAATGTTTCTGTGGTGTCAGCATAACACAAATTAGAGATCCCCAAAGTGGCTCTGACTGACCTTGCATGAATCCAGAGTGCTGTGCAACACCATGGAAAAAAAAATCCTAAGCTGGCTCTGAGGAGAATGGGGTTTCTCTAAAGTCCAGTGGAGTCTTCTGCAGAGACATTAGCTCAGCTCCTGGCAGAAGTGCAGGGAGGACAAGGAAGGATGTAGCTGATGAGGTGATGAGAAGCATCGTACATTGCCAGACAACATACTGCCCACATCACCGATAATGGGGGAGGTAAAATCTATGTAACAAGTCTATGCCAGGGTGTGTTACTGCAGTTCTCCCCCAGGTGAATTAGTTAAGTTTCTTCTAATTCCCTCAGAGGGAGTTATTAGCATAGGCAGAACAGCCTGTCAGCCTGTGTGGACTTATTGAATTAGCCTCTTCCCTGCCAGCGACCCACATTGTACTGTGTAGAAATACTAATAAAGCATGAGACTTACTATGTTTGCTATGAGATTAGTCAGTCTAAGGTATAAATATGGGGTTTTCTTTCCATCAGGACAAAGCCAAGGGTGGCATCTTGGTTATGTTGGTCACAAGCTGCCCTCAGGTCTGTGTATTTTCCCCACCATCTGTGGTGGGCTGCCTTGTGTGACATGGCAGAAGGCAGCATTCACACCCAGACTCAGCAGGAAGGACTGAGCAAGGATTTCCTTCTGTCATGAAAGTAGACACTTAAACAAATAAAAGTGAGCTGGAACAGTGTCTGAGAGCAAAGATGTCCCCTCAGATTCCCTGGCTTTTCCCCGCACTTGGCTGTATTGCTGGAGATTTGCAAGTGAATACCGGGTCATCAGATTTTTTTGGATTAACACACAGAGGGGTCACCTTCTCTGCACAGATTTCCATGGTGAATCTTAAAACCTTGTGTCTTACCTTCATATCTGGCTTGAGATTGCTCAGATATAAATCTGAGGCTGGAAGGTTCAATTCCAAGTCACAGAGAGTTTCTCCCTTACCGGGGATGCATGGCTACGAGAAGGGCAAGGCCTCGAAGTAGAAACATGCATCTGAGTGTGTTACTCTTTAGTTGCTGCTCCAAAAAATAGCTTTTGGGTCTAGCAAAGACTTTTCTGCATAAATCTGGAGACACAGACCAGATAAGATAAGAGAGTCCACACAGGAATGGGGCTGTCTCCTAGTGAGGAACATGGAATTACAGCATAAAGGCACCTCAACTGCCTCACATTTGCAACCTGCAGACCTAACGCTGAGGGCTCTTTACTTGCCTTCATGGATCTGAAGACCAGGTTGGCTGCCTCTGCCTTCGGGGAGGTACTTTTGGCAGAGGGCAAGATACACAGCTGAAGGAAGCAACTCCTGAAATGATTTACCGTGAACATTTAGATGTCATATGAAGACTCTACAGCATGTTCAAGCCACATTGGAAGTGAAGTGGCCTAAGGTGGCTTAACAGTTCAGATAGTGTTGATCTTCTGCTGATTCACTCTTGACTTCAGTGCACAGCTTCCTACTAAAACTTACGCTATTTCTGAGAGTATAATCCCACATGTGGTATTTCCAATAGCAATCTCTCCCTGCCAGGCCCTCTGACCTGCCCTGTTTTCCTTCCCAAATTGTGCTGTACTTGCAGCTGCAGTGTGAAAGCTGGACAACACGCTGGAGATGAACTTAGTCAGCCCAGATATCCTGGCTGCCCTCTGGGTGATTAGCTCTGCTTACCTAGTTCCCATTTGAATTTCAGTAGGACAAAATAGCCAACTTTCATTGCCTTGAAAGGCAGAGGCAATGCGACCAGTTGTCTCCTGTCCATTGCAAAGTGACTTGTCTTTTCCACCCCACTGTTGCTTAAGTATGAACTGGTGCAAGAATGTCAAATCTGATACAGTCAATTAAGTGTGAAAAGGATTGTAAGTACTAGTTGCAGAAATAACTTTTACTTAAAACTGCATTTCTTTTTCAGATACATTTTTTAACACAGGCAATTATGGATAGTGCAGAATAAGCTACAGTACCAATACCTATACATGTTTTTTTCCCCCAGATAAAACATGACATCATATCTCCAACACACATAATTTACTTCCCTGAAACTTAGATTTGACCTAAGTACCAGATTTCACTAGATAGCCCCTGAAATCTTGTTTGCTCACTTGTCCCCAAAAGATACCAGTGAATCTCAAACAACAGAGACATCTGGAGCCAAGGCGATGCCTACTCACCTGAGTACAAAGTCATGGGAGTCAATATCTTGGCCATACTGAGACTGCCGAAGGTTCCCAGAGTTGCCCACGACGGCGCATCGTCTGCATGTGTAAGTGCCTCGCTCCTGCAGCGGATCCCCAACCCCAGGAATGATCCCAAACAATTCCTTGAGAGTAGCATTAATATTCTTTGGAGTTTTCTCTCCTTGCAGTTTCTGTCAGGGAGAAAAATCACTCCAGGTTACCCATACAGCTAGTCTTTCTGTGAGCAAGACACAGCTTCAAATGTCTTCTCAAAGACCAATCTTACATCTACCTGCAGACACTGTCTCCTGCAGGATGCGCTACAAGGCTTCAGGTTGGGAGCAGAAGTGTGGAAAAAAGTAAAAAATCCTTTCCATTAACTTTTTTAACCCGCTTCCCCTTTTCTTCTCCTTGGATCCCCACACCTCCTCAGTCCCCATCCAGCCATGGTGGAACAGATTATGTGGTCTCCCCAAGGCTGACCTTAGCAGAATGAATGTTTCTCTGGTATCTATAAACTTAATCCCAACCTTGGACCAGATATCTTCTGTTAGGACATGTATAAGATTTCTTTTAACCCTTCTAGGAAGGACAGAAAAGTCTCAGTGAACCTTATGGAGCACAGGAGTGGCTGACACTCCCATAAATTTTGGCATAGGACAGACGTGGGAATGAGAGATCTTATTGCTGCTGTTCTGAACTGGAGGAACCAGCTGCTAATGCAACAGGAAACTACAGTGAAGTAGATTTAGCCCTGAGGGTTGAGGATGTAAAATAATCTTAAAAATTCTCCAGGATGAAGAAAACCACCCGGAACTTGGTCATTGTGTCTGTTGCCATGGAGGGAAACTCTTTTGTAGCAGCTCTGTGGTGCATGGTGGAAACAATGGCTAGATCGGGAAGGTACAGGCAAGGTGAAGGGCAGGTGATGGTCAGACACTCCCCTTCTGGGGCTCTGTTCCCTGAGTGTTACTAAGAGTTTGGGAGTGTTGGCAGGCTCACAAAAATCATCCCCCATCCTTGTGGTGTCACTTGTAAGTTCACAAAGGGAGAATGGCTCCTAACACAAAATATGCCAAAAGGCTCTACCCTTGCTCTGCCAGCCTAGGGTGAGGAGAGACAGGGAGGAAGAGAGGAGAAACACCTTTTCCCATGACTCCCAGCAACAGCCTGGCCTTAGTTTCTGATGCGTTTCCCTCCACTGCACCAGGAACTGTTAATTTGTTCTGCTATCTCTCTCTCACACACACAAAAAGTTTTATCACTATAATTTTTGTTTAAATTTTGTGCTGTTTGTTTGCAGAACTAAGTAAAGCAACCTTATTTGCTCTGAACTGAACAAGAGTCTGTGGAGCTCAAAGCTACAAGATAACATTGGGGCCAATAACTTGAAAGAAAGAAACGTTGCATAGAATCACAGAATTGTCTAGGATGCAAAGAACCTTGAAGATCACCCAGTCCAACCATTAACCTCACACTGACAGTTCCCAACTACACCAGATCCCTCAGCGCTATGTCGATCCGACTCTTCAACCCGTCCAGGGATGGGGACTCCACCACCTCCCTGGGCAGCCCATTCCAACGCCCAACAACCCCTTCTGGAAAGAAATGCTTCCGAATATCTAGTCTAAACCTTCCCTTGTGCAACTTGAGGCCATTCCCTCTTGTCCTATCGCTTGTTACTTGGTTCAAGAGACTCATCCCCAGCTCTCTGCACCCTCCTGTCAGGGAGCTGTAGAAGGTGATGAGGTCTCCCCTCAGCCTCCTCTTCTCCAGACTAAACCCCCCCAGTTCCCTCAGCCGCTCCCCGTACGACCTGTGCTCCAGACCCTGCCCCAGCTCCGTTGCCCTTCTCTGGACACGCTCGAGTCATTCAATGTCCTTTTTGTAGTGAGGGGCCCAAAACTGAACACAGGAATCGAGGGGCGGCCTCACCAGTGCCGAGCACAGGGCTCAGATCCCTTCCCTGTCCCTGCTGGCCACGCTATTGCTGACACAAGCCAGGATGCCATTGGCCTTCTTGGCCCCCTGGGCACACTGCTGGCTCCTGTTCAGCCGGCTGTCAATCACCCCCCCAGGTCCCTCTCTGACTGGCAGCTCTCCAGCCACTCCTCCCCAAGCCTGTAGCGCTGCTGGGGGTTGTTGTGGCCCAAGGGCAGCCCCCGGCATTTGCCCTTAGTGAAACTCCCCCAGTTGGGCTCAGCCCATGGCTCCAGCCTGTCCAGGTCTCTCTGCATACATAGACTTCATGTTCCTGCTAAGGCTTGTTAGCCTATATACTCATATATGGACTGTACAAGATGATTAGGATGCAAGGTAATTGGGATGTCCAGACAAGCACTGCCATTATTACCGCACAAGTCACTATTCAGTGGATGGCTCAATTAGGTGAAAAAGCTTATCTTCTTCTAAATTTGATGCTACAAACACGTGGTCACGTATCTAAAGTCTTATACATTCTTTATGAATCCAGTCTAAACCTGTTTTTACTCTAAATATGTGAAAACCACTTAATATTAGAAAGCCCGAAGCCTTCAAGATAAATGGCGACTTCATAGATGTCTTAGAGTGTAGTATCAGGTGTTCCTTTAAAAAGGAACTTATTTTGAGTAATTTAAACATGGATGTGCATACACTCATGTATACTATCTCTCTGTAAAGGTGAACTGACTTTAACTGTCTTTAAGAAATTAAAGGGAAAACCATCAAACATGCACTAAAACATTTTTAAGAACATAGTTATTTGGGGGAAAAAAACAAACAAACAAACAAACAAAACCCAAACCAAAAACCTGTTCTTGAACTGATTTTGACTAAGAAAATTCAGATGAGGGAGGTAATTTTCAGAAAATTCTAAGTCACTGAGCCCCCTTATTAAGGTAAATTGCCTTTTCAGCCAGAATGATAGCATCATGAAAGGAAAGGACATGGAATATTGACTTCTGTTTGATGCATTAAAATGGTAGAAACATTATCATGGATAGACACATTCAGTTATACAAAACAGGGATCTGCCTTTTCTTTCTGTTATGCTGCTGTTGGTCTAGGGTAAGTCTATTGACACTAAGTTAAAACATGGTCACCAACACCAGCCTGAAAGCAGGACACCATCATCCTACCATCCCTTGGTTGTGCTCAACTTCTACAGCAGACATTGTTACTTATAGATTCCCTCAGTGACCTCAAATAGAATGATGAACTTATTGCACTGTGTGCTGAACATCTATAAAATAAGACATCCATCATTAAAACGGCTCTGTTTAATTTCATCAGTGATTATGTGGTTGGACTATACTCTTCAGGCATAATCTTCAACCAGCACTGGCTAGTCTTTGACATTTCAGCAAAACAGAGCAGAGTGGGCAATGAAACTGATTAAATTCAAGGCAGATAGTTTTTAAAAGTTCAGACTTAATGTGCAGCCAGTTCCTTACTGTGCTATGTTTACTTGACTTCTTGAAAAAGATAATTTTAATAGCATTACAATTACAAGCCACAAGTTCACTTTCCCACACCAAATTTTTGTCATTTTTTTGAGTCTTTTTTTTTTAACAAGCTCCCACCCATCTGGTCTTTCCCATAAACTGATAGAAGCACTGGGTGAAGGTCTGTCCGTGACATGCAAGGCAGAGCCATAGCAGTGCCACGTGCATCTGTTGGGACAGCATCCTCCCTCCAAGTGCCATAGATGTGTGCCAGGAATGTGTGTATAGATACAGCTGCTAGAAGTGGGCTTAAATACACTGAAATACCTGACTGGTGTCCTGAGTGAAGTGGCTGCTTTTCTCAGAAGTCTATGCAAACAACAGCTGCATCTAATGATGCAGCTTAACCTGTTGCCCAAGTCCAAAAAGCATCTTAACCCACCTTGTGTCCACATATAAATTATCACTAGATCACTTAAAACTCCAGCTCCCCTCCATAAACTATTTGTCTAGCACTCGAGAGTCAACCCTTCACCTCAGGTTGTTAAAAACTATAACTGGGAGTCCAGATTGAGATGTTTCCTAATCACCTTCACAGGGAAGGCAAACTACTCTGTCATCCTGGCCTTTGAAACTCCCCACTTCACATACAGAAGTTTACTAGCTGGTTTTGCATGATCTTATTTAAAAAAAGCGCGGGGGGGGGGGGGGAAAAGAAAAAAGAACTCTCAAAGTTTATGAACTTCCCCTCTTTATCCATGAATGGCTTTCCAAGGAAGAGCCTGTTGCTCTTCCTTTCATTACTGGGTACATGCCTCCATTAAGAATGACAAGGGACTTCACTGTTCTAAACTTCTAGGAAGGCTTCCTTGGGCTCTCTGGTATCATCACATTGCCAGCAATTGCCAAGAAGCAATACCCAAAGCTCAGCTAAAGGGATGCAAAGGGAGGTGTGAATTCAGCCAAGGCTGCTCAGAGCTAATAGCTTAGAGCGGTGAGGACACAGCTACAGTCAGGAGAGCCTCAAAGGAAAGCTCTCCTGGTGCCTTTGCATCCTGCATCCATGGACAAGTTTGGCAGCGTTTTAAATACACCTTCAAAATTCCAACTTACTAGAGCAGGTAGAAAATACCCCGCTTAACCAGTAATCATTGGTGTGATGTGGATGCAGATGGAGCACGGACCCAGACACAACCCTCATGGTGGACAGGCAGGTATAGCTGTGGGTTTGGCAGAGCCAGCACTGCTGGGGCTGCCCTGCAAGCACACAGCCAGGCAGCCTGGGGAAGCTGGTGTAGCAATACTGGGTTTTGTGGCTTTTCTAATTTTTTTTAAACTGTTTTTAAAAGATAATGAGGGAATAAAGCCCCATGAGAATCTCTTTTGCACGGCTACTAATTGCCTTGCTGTAGCAGTTCGGAGGCATTAATACTCATGCAACGCTTCCCAGCTGTAAGACACTGTACAAAGATTAATCCTAGCAACAGCCTGATGGGGCAAATCCAGGTAATCTCCATTTTGCAGACTGAAGGAGAGGTTAAAAGGGAACCATCAATTTGAAAAATGCCTCCTTGGTCTGGAAAATATGGTGTTATTATTGTTATGTTTAATGTCCTGCAATTACTATGCATCAAAGAGATTAAGGAGGAGAATATAGGGGCTTTCAAGAGTTTGGGCTTTGTTTAATGATTTGTGTCTGTCAAATATATGCATTCTCAAATCTGACTGTAATGTGCATATATTATGCAAATAACACACAGTAATATGCATATGCCAAATTGTATTATTTCTGACTTCCATGGCTGGTACAGGTCATCTCCGTGCTACTCTAAGGAGCGAAGACCCTGCCTCTGCCAGCTCTGTGTGCCCTCATTTCTGGCTGCAGGATGCTTGCAACTTGGCAGAGAGCACTGCAATGCTTAGAGGGACCCATGAGCTTGGACCACCTTCAGATCCATCTGTGCTCGCTGGAGCTGCAGCCCAGCTGGGTGTACATGGGGGTGTGCCAGAGGTAGCCCAGCATCAGGTTCTCCTAGTATGTCCAAGTCTGGTCCAGATCTCGTGCTTGCACCCAAGCAGGGCAACACCAGGGAGGACTGCGCATCTAGCAGGCACAGGGACTAAAGCTGGGGACCTGGGCTGGGTTTGGTACCACCTTCTGCTGTGAACACTCTACCTTCAAAGCACAGAGCCCTTTGTATTGCTTTCAAAGAATCACAGACAGCGTCCCAGTTTTAAAAACGACTTCTGGTGATCAAAGTATTTGGGCAAATTTTCTACAAAGAGCATTCAAAATGCATGACTCAGGTGCCAAGACAGCTCTGCTGCTGTACTTAAAAATAAGTGAAGCTTCCATGACTCCCCCAGTGCATGTGTTGGGGATGCCCTTTTGTTTGTAGTCTGGTTAGCAAATCTTTAAGCCATATATTACGTTTTTTCCTACAAACATAATGACTAAAAGCTAACATTTTCTTTTAGATACGTTAATCACATGGCCCTAAGAGCTGAGATTTCTTCTGAAAAAAAAGAAAGCAAACCTCTCAAATATCATAAGACTCAAGATAAAAATTGTTATAACATGGTAGTTTATGAACAATGTGCTACAGATAAAATTGCCAGGGAACTCTGAGCCTGATTTTACTTATCACAGCTTTAATCCATCAACCTCAACAGGGTTATTTTGGATTTAGAACAGCAGGTTCTGATCTCATATTTTTGATACTTTCTGACCACAAAAAACAATGCCAAAAAACCCTGAGAATAAACCAAGAAAACTATAAATAAATGCTATGCTATGTTACAGCATATAATTCTTGCCCTGTTTCCTTATATACAGGTTACTAAATTTAGTGGAAATGTCCACAGCATTTGTGTCATGGAACAACAATGAAAACCTTGCAGGTGAACCAGCTCAGGAGGGTGGGTAAGAAAATATAAACAGAAAGAAATGCATCACATAACATAAGGTGCCACATTCCAAAACACTGAGACTCTCACAGTCCCTGAGTGTAAGAAGAGGCAAGGCAGATAGACAGACAGACAGACACACAGGGAGGGGAGAGGAGGGGAGAGGAGGGGAGAGGAGGGGAGAGGAGAGGAATTTCTAATAAGCTGGTTACAGTCTGGAGTATTGTTAATGCCCAGATCACCTCTGAGAGAGGAAGACTCCAGTTCACCTTTAAGTCACAAAAAGCACAGAGCAGCTGCAGGGGTGTACCCAGGAGGAAAAGTTGAGCCATTATTTCTTACCAGATTAAAGTAACCAAAGGGGAGTTTATCAGCTGGGTAGATTTAAGGAAATGAAGAGCCAGTGACAGCCCTGACAACAGCCCCCTTGTTTCCGTGACCACAGAAACAGCCGGGTACATTTTCAGGTGCCTTCTCCAGAAGCAGCCCAGCCCAGTGAAGCAAGATGAGCCACTGTGGGTGTGTTGGCACTGACCTTTTCTTCCCTGCTTCTTCACACCCACACAGGTGATACTGCTAACTCCAGTATGGACAATGTAATTTTATTCACAGCAGCTATGAATATTTCCTTCCAAAAGGCCACACCCTACCAAGCTGGAAGAGCTTAAACAATATATTCTCCAAATAAACCATGAAACAGCCTGTGAAATCACCCCACCCTTTGGCCCCAGATGTCACCTCATCTCGAATACTGGTCATTAGGCTCTGAAATCAGATCTTGCCTTCCTAGAAGTGGAGGGATACTAATGCTACAGGACTATTTGGGTGAATAATCCTTATTCACACATACAGCACAGGGTTAATGGGAAGGGAGGGCAGACTGAGCTTGGGAGACAGACAGCTCTCCGGCAAGGGCTCTGCCTGTGTTTAGTCCAAGCACCTCACATGGGTCTCTCCTTGACAGGAAAGTCGCCAGTGCAGTTATCGTTGTCTCAGTTACAGCATAACGAAACCACCACATTGTCTGAAGTCAATTCCTGAGAGTGAACACACAGTCATTTCTCCCCTGAAATTAAGTTTAAGCAATCTAAGGTCTCCTCATGCCTCTTCTTTTAAGTACTAATATAGTAAAAAGTCACAAATTATTGAGCTGGCAAAGCAAGAGAGAGTAAAACATGGCCATGAGCAATGTTTTCTTCAAGACTGGCTGAAGTCTCAGAATCACTTTGAAGATGAGTTTAAAAATGAACAGCAAAAAGGGAGCACAGTCAGGATGCACCTGGGAGTTACTTACTCTAGAAATGACACTGACTGTCTTGGAAAGGTTTACCCAAAGCAATGTGTACAGGAAATAGATTGCAATGAGGAGCTGAGGCCACACCATGCCTGGATTTACCCAGAAGCTTGTTTCAGAGTAGTCAGGACACCTTCTCCATCTATAAGAGATTAGGACAAGTATTTTCAGGAACTAACCGATTTCCAATACACAATGCAGTTTTGGGGATCACCAAAATATTTCACACCTTCTGGTTGAAGATAACTTCTGCCTGAAAAATAATACAGTGGAAAAACTATGGAAATATTAGATTTATTTTTACCATCTAAGTAAAAACTCCTTTGATTTTGTGAAGTGGTGTATTTTCTTTGAACTTGACCTGAATTCAGAAAAATGAATGAAAACACTAAAAATAGGGTTACACAGCCCCGAAAATTAAGGGACAGCTATTATTTGGGCTTGGAAGGGAAGAAGATTTTTGGCTGTCCTGAAAGTAACTGTTTTTAATTTAGCTGAAAAAGGAACTATCCTCCCCCCCCCC